TTGTTTCCCCATTACCAACCATGAGGTATGTGAAGTAGAAAACATGTAAGTGTCCACAGATGAACAAAATCTGACTCAACTCTCTGCAGATGTAGGTAGTAAAATAGCCTATAGGCCAGATAAGCTATTAACATTTTGTAAAGTTCTTTTCTGCATACTAGTAAACTAAACTGCTAAATCCACAATATTTGAAAGCTACAAATGGGGGCAGTACAAAATGAGGAGAAAAGTTACACCTTTAGATAATATTTGAATATAGTTTAAAAACTTCTTTTTGAGACATATCTTTTAAAATAAATACATCCTTCTCAAAAATAAGGACTCCCCCAGGAGACAGCACACAAGTCTTTCCTTCCACATGGAGTAAGGAACACAGTCTGTAGCTGTACACTGTATTCCTGGTTTACCTGGATTCCACGGTCCTTCCCTCTGCTTTCCAATCCCACTTCATAAAGAAGAATGGCAGATTTATAATATAATCTTAAAATACTTCCTCAACCTCAAAAGAGGGATCTAGTGTGAAAGGAAGCACTAGTGACCAACTACAGAATCCACTAATCTAGCTGATACTATGAGGCTGTTGGCAATAATGTACATTACACTGCTGAAGACCTGTGCCTTTTCAGCATAACCCAGTTTGCCTTCTGGTGAATTCAGAAAAGGTGTAAGAAATTTAGAATAGGTTTTATTAAAGTAAAAAAAAAAATCTTCAGTGTGATACAGGGATTTGAAAAGTCAGAGTTTTTCTCAGTCTGTGCAAATAACAAAACATTAAGATCAAAGACATCTAAAACCTCTGTTCTTCAGTATACTGTCTGGACGCAGCATATACTGCTCAATAAAGTAATAGCTAAGGTAAATGTAATGCTCCAATTGAGTGAATTAAGCAGTTAAAAAAAAAATCAATCATGGGGATGGAGAGGAAGAAATCTATTCAATACCCTTGTTTCTGATCTGTTAAACGTTAGGTCATAGTTGACTTTCTTTCTAAGGTTCAGTGTTTTTCATTCACGAGATCAATATAAAAGAGTTTTTTTCTCATATAGTACTTTAGTTGTATTCATCTTGTCATTTCACAGCATGTAGAAATGCTGACCCTGTTTGCTTTTTATATGTAACATTACTTTCAAAGTGTTTTATTACATCTTAAATTAAATACCAAAATTATCAGAGGTTTCCTAGAGCTATGGGATCTCTCTACATTTTTAATGTAAGCTATTCATCAGCACTTTTATAATTAGGCAAAATGTTCCAAGAAACTAATAAGATTAAAGATACATTATCACATATCTTTAGCTGACATTTCCTAATGCTGATCTGTTGTGTAAAAAGATAGGAAGAGAGATCAAAGTGACAATATGAAGATGATTCTCAAAGACAGTAATGGTCATGCAAAACTGTTCTCATTTGTCAATATTTTTTCTTTAGCTTCTCTTCTATTGACTAACCATCAGAATCTAGTTTTCAGAAATGCATGATTGTGATAAATCAATTCAGCACCCAGTTTTAAGCTTCAGGGTGCACTAGGTAGGACACAGTGAATCACTGCAATAAAGCCAAAGCACAGAAAGACAGACAGAGCTAAGACAGGGAAGCAAGAACAGGGATAAGAGTTTGAATTCATTAACATGATATAATTTCTAAACTAAACACATAGCTTGGTCTTTATTGTACTGTAGTCTAGAAATTTCTACACAAAGCCGAACTGTTCCAGACATATCTAAAAGAAAAATACAATTTCTGTAAACAGTGTAATTTATAGCCAGAGATGCATTATTGGAACAAAAGAAGTGAAAGATCAAAATTAGAGAGTTGTATTTATAAGTTTTCTCATAGGTTTTATACACAGGTCTTGGAATAAAACAAAAAATGGTAGAAGTTAAACCTCCAGTGTTGTAGAGCATTACAGATCTGACAGAAGTGAAAGTGGACTGCCTCCTCTAAGTCATCAGGTCTTAAGAAGAAATTGAATAGTAATTTTTTGCTAGTATCACTGTCTTCTCTGATTCAATACTTTCATTCATCTCGTCACTTTCAAATTTATAAAGATGCAGACTAAGTATAAATATTCATATCAGATATGAAAGCAAACCATGCAGCTTTCCTTCTCAGTTAGGAAAGAATCAAATGTGAAATTGTGCTACAGACAAGTTTTGAAAATCACAGAAGTGCCAAGTTGGAAGAGACCCACAAGGATCATCGAGTCCAATTTCTAGCTCTCCACAGAACTACCCCCAAAAGTCACACCATGCACCTGAGAGTATCATCCAAACACTTCTCAAGCTTTGTCAGGCTTGTTGCTGTGACCACTTCCCCGGGGAACCTGTTCTAGTGCCTAACCAACCTCTGGGTGAAGAAAACCATACGCTTGACATGCAAGGAAGACCTAAAACCAAGAATGCAATAAAATCTTGGAAATAAAGTGCATGACTTGTACAGAAACAAAACAAGAAAAAAATCACTTCATTAAATACTCTTAAAAATTTTACACTTGGAAAAAATAAATAACATTACTAATCTTAACAGCAGATAAATTCTTCACAGGATCAGATCCTAGGGTGTTGCAAAGTAATATGTGGTAAGGAGTTAGAGACTGTGCATATGAACAATGTCAAGAACTCTATACTTCTTAACAACTAACATTAAGCTGTGATGAATTGGATAGCTAATAAATACCTGACCTCAGAAAACTTTGCTAGAAGGCCTGCAATATTAGGGTGAAGCTATCATAAGAACCTAAAGATGCATCTTGAGCTTTCAGTGGAGGTTTTGCTTATGCAGATACTTGAAATGGAAGTAGAGCAGAAATACAGTGATCACAATTCAGTGTTTACATGCTAATCTGGATTTGATAGTATTTGAAACCATTCAAAATTTTCTAACACAAAGTCTTTCCTCTAGCCTGGCCTGAGAATTGGAAAAGAATCACATTCTATAACAACAGTTATTGTCCACTCTAAACAAAATTAGATTGACTGTCCTAAACTTAACTTTTCTTGAAAATTCTCTTTTGTCTGTACTTCTGAACTTCAGACTTTCAAGGTTCTCTTTGAGTCTCTATTTGATACTTGTGACCAGCATTCACACACAGTACTCAAGTTCATAACTGGTGCATCCCGTTTAACTGACTAATTTAAAAAAAAAAAAAAAATATTTTGTTTGGGTAGTTGGGGTTTCATTGGTTCACTGGTTTTGGTGGGGGTGGGGGGGGGAAGGGCAGTGTTATTAGGGGGTTTTTTTGTTTGGTTGGTTTTTTTTTAAGTATATCATCCCAAATCAAAAAACCTCTTCTGGGTGGGAGGACTTGATTAAACGCATTCAGACTCAACGTATAGTCTTAAGAGTCAGACACAAATATTTCTTAACTAAACTATATGAGAAGCAGCCTTGTACCTGGCTTATCCAAACACCCTAAAAATCATTCTTGGCACCTTAACATAATGAATTTCATTGAGAAACATGTATAAAAACTCAAATCTCTGTATTGCAGAGTAAACTATTTCTTAAAGTCTTATCCAGTAAGAAGTATCCTGTCTAATGATGCATTACACATTAGGCTAGCTCCCAGTAAAGAAGTACTTGGAAGAAATCAGGAATTTGGAAATGAAAACTCAGAAGAAAATCTCTGGCTTCCTTTTATTACCTTATATCACTACAATATGAGGTAAAGGCCACACAAAAATCTTTCAGAAAGAAATACTCATGTATTTAATTATGTAGTTTAAGACATTGATAAAACAACTGCATATCATAAATGGCAGTATCGTTTTTCTTCGATTTATTTTTGTTTCTTCATTAGATAAAAATATTTCACCTCCTCCCTTTCACATCTACTGAGATATTTACCAACTTGTTCCCCTCAGCTCTTTGCTCAACAGCTTGTTCTTCATTCCCAGTTTCTTTCCATTTACATTATTTTCAGACTGCTTCCTTTTTGCAATTACTGTTCCAAGCCTTCAGCTGGTGGCTTAAGAGCTCAACATATCTTGTAATTGAAATAACTCTGTGGCAAGAAATCCTTTTAGAATTAAAACCAAAGGCGCAATAGGTTATAAATTCATTAAAGGCGGGGTTAAATTAAATGAGTTATATTAAGTGTTCTCATACTAGCATATTTTAGTCTGTGTTACAAAAACACATTTGAGATCTTGTGGGGTCTTCCCATTAGGCTTTTCAGAGCTAAGTGTGCACAAATGTGTCTCCTCTTATTCAGTGATATATACAGGATCAGCAATTGGTATGACAGTCCCCTCTGTAAAACTGATTTTCTCATGGTTTGTATAAAAATTTCCTGCATTTCTTTTCCTGTTTTAATATAAGGGCATGACTGTCTATTTGTATACAAATATATATACACACAACATGTGCCTATTAAGAAAGCAAGCAGATTATTACTTCCTTTGCTTTGTCATACAGACTCACTGTTTTTACGTTACGAGCACGCACACTTTGAGAAGAGACAAAGTTAAACTGATTACATTACTGGGACTCAAGCATTTCTACCTGCATGCTCTGTTACTCCTCAGTTATATTATTTCCTTTCTGCATCAATTTCATAGTAGGTGTTTATAAGACTTTTATTTTATTTTCCCCAGATAAAATACACACAAACCTTTTTTTCAGTGTACAATAGCGATTCAATTACTTTTCCAAGGCCTGCAAAGTAATTTTGCTATGGACCCCAAAGGAACAACAAACCACCTCTGTGCCTTCTGGTGTTGGTATACCATCTTAATAAGTAATCCAAGCAATGAAATCTACCTGTATCTAAGATAAGAATAACACAAATGAGGGACCAAGGGGGTCTTAGTGTCCTGAGCTGGAGGACCATGACTGTGAGACTGATCAAGTCCCAGTTGACTCCAAATTTGTGCAGGAACTGCTGCTCCAGATGGATCCCTACAAATCTACAGGATCTGATGGGATACATCCAAGAAACCTTAAGGAGTCAGCTAATGTCATCACAAAGCCTCTCTTGGTGCTTTTCAGTTGGTCTTGGGAATCCAGAGAAGTCCCAGCTGACTGGAAGTTGGTGAATGTTCTCCTAATTTTCAAGAAAGGCAAGAAGGAGGACCCTGGAAACTACAGGCCTGTCAGTCTGACTTCAGTGCCCAGTAAAATCATGGCAAAGATTATTCTGTGAAGTATTTAACAAGACCTGGAAGATAACACAGGCACTGGCCACAGTCAGCAAGGCTTCATGAGGGGTAAGTCCTGCTTATCAAACCTGATTTCCTTCTACAGCAGGGTAATCCACTTAATTGATCAGGGGAAACCAGTAAATGTAATAATTTTGGACTTCAGCCAAGTTTTTTATATTGTCTCTCACAGCATCCTACTGGACAAAACATCCAGCACACAGCTGGATAACCGTCTTATGTGATGGATGAGCAACTAGCTCACAGGTCAGGCATAAAGCGTTATAGTGAATGGGGTAACATCAGACTGGCATCCAGTCACTAAGTGGGGTTCTGCAGGGCTCCATTGTCAGCCCAGTTCTCTTCAACGTCCTCATTAAGGACCAGGACAGGGGACTTGGAGGAATACTAAGCTTGCCAGTGGCCCTAAATCAGGAGGAGCTGTTGGCAGCGAGGGAAGAGAGGCCCTGCAGAGAGACCTTGACAAATCAGAGAGATGGGCAATCACCAGCAGTACGAAGTTTAACAAGAACAAATGCCAGATTCTGCATCTGGGATGGGGCAAACCTGATTGTGTGTATAGACTAGGGAAAGAGGAAATGGAGAACAGCACTGTGGAAAGGGACCTGGTTGATGGCAAGTTGAATATGAGTCAGCAGTGCCCTGGCAGCCAGGAGGGACAACTGTGTCCTGGGGTACATAAGGCAAAGCATTACCAGCCAGTCAAGGGAAGTGATTGTGCCGCTCAACTCTGCACTGGCACAGCCTCACCTCAAGTCCTGTGTGCAGTTTTGCGGACCACAAAATAAAAAAGACATTAAGCTATTAGAGAGTATCCAAAGGTTGGCCACAATGATGGTGAAGGGTCTGGAGGGGAAGCCTTATGAGAAGTGGCTGAGGTCACTTGGTTTGTTGAGCCTGGAGGAGACTGTGGGGAGCCCTCACTGCAGTCTACAGCACCCTCATAAGGAGAAGCAGAGGAGCAGGTACAAATCTCTCCACCCTCATGACCAGTGACAGGACTCAAAGAGGCATGAAGCTGAGTCAGGGGAAGTTTAGGTTGGATAACAGGAAAAAGTTTTTCACCTAAAGAGTGATTGAGCACTGTAACAGGCTCGGCAGGGAAGTGATCATAGCACCAAGCTGTCTGAATTAAAGAAACATTTGGACAACACTCAGGCATTTGGTGTGATTCTTGGGGATGGCTCTGTGCAGGGCCAGGAGCTGGACTAGACAATCCTTGATGGGTCCCTTCCAACTTAGCATATTCTGTGATTCTGGGATTTTAAGACAGGAAAATAATAATACAGATTGTCATATAAGAACGGAACATCTAGAAAATGGTAAGGACTAGCAACAAGTTTACCTGTGGTCCAGACTGAAGTTCAGCATTTGGATAATCCTACAATGAGTGCTCAAGTGAGTTTATATTCCTGAAATACACTATCATCCTCTCAGTAAAGCAAAAACAACTGAAAATGCAAAGTACCTCAGAACTATTATTGGAATCCAATACACTTTTCAATTAAAATCAATTTATAATAGCCAGATAATGACAAGTTATTTAAATCTTTGAGTTATCCTCACATTCCTGGAGAGTTTAAAGATTCACCTAGTGAATCTTTTAGCTTTGTCATCATTTTATTTAGATTAATATTGGATTTTGTTTTGTTCCTAGTAGCAGATATTATTCAGAGAAAAAAAAAAAAAAAAAGGACAGACAGAGACACCTAGACCCCAAGAATTTCTTACTTGTGCAAAATAAAGAAAAACCCACAGTATTCCCACTGAACTTTTATTTAGGCACATACTCCCCTCCTGCAAATGGAGACAAAAACAGCCAAAATACTTCTGGATAAACTGTCAGCTCTCCAATTCAAATCTGCCTTGCCTTAAAGTCAGCAAAGAGTAAGCAGAAGTTATACATGCTCTGGAAGCAGTCTGCTGCCCATTCAAATCACACAAGATGTGCTTTAGGGAAGGTCAGACAGACTTCAGGTATTCAGATCCATTACGTTTCACACCAGCAATAGCTCTGTCAAAGGAGTCATTCTTTCCTTCCACTAGAGCAATCTCAGTAGTGTGCACTGAAAAAGAGATCAAATTCCAACACCAAGTTATAAACTTGAGAATCACTATTTATGGTCCTATCACTGTAGCCTGCTTTCTCACTTTGGACAGGTCAGCACAAATTTATCTGTACAGTATATGAAATATTTGTCGTAGCTATTTCTCCTCCCACACATGGCAATACAATTCCTGCTGTAAAAAAAGCCCTGGATTTTTGTAAATTACTCAAGATATTAAATAACACAAATGAGACTAGACCAATACGCCATTCACCAATCTGACCACTTGTTATGAAAGTCACACAAGACCTCTTTTGGTCCAGTGGAAAAACAATGAAAGACATTGTACATGAAGTAAAAAGAACACACAAAAAACTAAAAACAAACACAAAAACCCCACCCAAAACAAACTACCACAAAGAAGATTTGCTCATATTGAAATGATTAAGTTTGGACTCAAGGAAAGACTATCATACTTTGTTGCTTTCAATATCTGTACTTTTTCCTGTTTTATGTAATATATTTTATAAAATGCTTCTGCTCTTAATCATATGCATGTTATTTCCCAACACACCTCTCCTCCACATATTTAAATAGTAGAGGCTACAATGTTTCATTTTTCATTTGCCTATGTGTGTGTCAAGGGCAACCAAACACAACACATAAAAGCACAGCATGATCCATGGATATTTATTATGGTACATGGTTATTTATCCTAATAACATTACTACAGCACAAAATACAATCAAGGAGGTTTAAGATAATTGAGCTGATATGTCATTATGTACTAATTTTAAAAGGGTATTTGAAACAGTGAATAGCTTGCTCAAGAAGTTCATATTTGAATCTTTATAAGAGACACATAACTGAAGATCTTCAAGAGGTTTGGTTTTGAAGTTGCTGCACTTGGGAGAGATGGGGAGTGTCTCCCCCCAGTTTTTAATGACAGGCAGACTCATCAGACATGTTTAGTTTTCAGAAGCACAAACTACTACCGGTTCCAAAACCAACTCACTCTGGAAATTTGGCTAATGGCTTAACCTCTTGAATTCAGTCTTCTTGTCTGTAAAAGAGGGACAAAACTGAATATAAACTTGTTCTGAATCAGTAACCAGCATATATTTCCAAAGCACTGTGAATATGCAAAGTGTAATTACCTAATTATCATGTATTACGATGCTGAGAAATATTCCTAGTTGAATGACAGCTATAATAGTGTGGCTTTTGTGATTTTAAGAACTATCAGTGGGGAATGAGTTGTCAAAGAATTACATGGAACTTGATAACACTAGAGCAGTTTTGTTTTCTTCACTCTTCTTGTCCTTTCTAGATTATCCAGTCTTACACTCCACTTTTCCAACCTGTTTTCTAAGTGCTTAGTCAGAGGTGCTACTGTCAGGATGAGTGGTTTGTGTCTAATATTGCTCAGCAGGGACAAGAAACTGCCAAGTCTGGCACTTCTATGACATATTCTGTTACAGATTTGAGAACATCCATGAAATCCCAAGCATTAGTTATGTATCTCTTTTAAAAATAATATTAAAACATAATACCATTCAAAATATTTTAATGCTTTTTATGGAAGGCTAATGTGCAAGTGGAGGAGGCAACTGAAATGAGTATTATACTGGAATCATTTGTGCACCATTATTAATGGTGGTCAAACTTGAAATGAGAGATTTATGTTCTTGCTTCAGAGAAGTTTGTCACATAAAAGACATACCACTACTATATTCAAAATCCTGGCCAGCCATTCTACAGAAAAGGCAGTCACTCTCTTAGTTTTTTTGTCATTATTAATTTTGGTAAAAGTTTATCATAGTCTGTGTAAACCATGTTAGTTCTATCCCTGATCAGATACTCACAGTTTTCCAATAACTAATGTGAGTTTGTAGACTTAAACAAAAAATAAAGTATTAATTTATTTTACAGTGTCAATGCTACAACCGCTGTCTTCAAGTTCTGCACCAAATACGCACAAGCTGCCTAGAGAGATCCACTGTTTTGTTATCATAACTTTGATTTCCTCTTTCTGTGAGAAAATCCAGCAAACAAATGATTTCGAAATGAACGAGAATTAATTTAAGAAGAATATGTGGCCCAAAACCAAAACAAAATGCAGGCTGTTGAAACAGACGAAATGTGTTTGTTCTTTGGCTTTAACAAAAGTAACTACGCTTGTAATTTCCCAATAATTTGATATCTGAACATGTTCAGGAAGAGCTAATTAAACAAGGGTTTATCCTTAAGGAGAACACTGCTCCGCCAAAGAAATCAAGCAAATCAAAGCTTTCAAAGGCAGATGCATTTTTGAGGGTGCAGAGCAAAGGCAGCTTGCACCCTCATGCCACCCTCATACGCAAGTAGAGGTGTGGGAGGTTGACGTTGCAGAAGAATTCTGAGATTTTATTTAACTAAAAACTAAAGCCATCAGATTCTGGTTGCAAACTGAAAGCATCTTGTTAAAAAGCATGACACGTCCGAGGCTTTATGAAAACATTTTCTTGTATTTGCAGTGAGAAGAAGTCAAGTTATCTCAGATTCCCCTCTGCTGAATGAACCAAGTCATTAAACTGGCATTTGCATTGAAAGGCTTTTCACAGGGCTTTCTGTCAGGCCTTTCAAACAGGGATGAAATGAATTAGGGCCAGCTTACAAATGATGCATTGTTGAATGTATGTGGGAACAAACAGCCACCATTGTCAGTGCAGGTGGGAAAGAAAAATGAATAGACAAGGAAGCTCATGGAGATGAAGAATCTCATTATTAATGAACTGTGTGCACATCTTTAATGAAGTTTACCCAATAAAAGATGGATTTTCCCCTGATTCTCCACTTTAAAAATTAATTACCTTGAAAAATATACAATGGTGATACATCTCAGATTATATATGCTTCTCTCGCAACATTATACTACTAACTTAGATCTAGAAATACTCTTCGTACAAGTATCTCACAGGATTTAAGTATTTTAAAACTCAACTCAGTCTCTTACAGAAGTACCCTCATAGCCTTTCATTCAAATGAGGAAACTGAGGCACAATACCAAGGCAAGGATGACAACTTAAAATGTAGCATTTTTTACCTTCTGTCCTTTAGCTAAGTAATGAAACAGTTCAATTTTTATTAAGTATTTATTAATTTTTATCTTTTCTAAAGTAGGATTCAACAACATGCCCTAATGCCAAAAGTTTACACAAACAATAACAAAACCAGAAGCCACATGACACCAATGACACTGCATGGAAAATATTACCTTCCTGTCACAACCTTTTTCTCTGTAAATAGTCTCAGTCTTCTGCCACAGCTGCTTCATCATCATTTTTTCTCCTGTTGCATGGGGGCAGCTTTTATCCATATTTTTCTGACTGAAAAGGCACTCCAAGTCTTATTTAAAAACATTTCTTTGCCATTCTGTTGTCTTCCTCTTGTTTTTATCTTACAATGAAACATGCTTAGGCAGTATTTTTGAAATGTAGTTTCTGGATTATCTACCATTACATTATCTCCACATTTAATATTGGAAGTTGTTTCTATTTACAGTAGAAAAGCTTAATTCTACTAATTTTCAGCTCACAAACTGTATCCTCCTTTTCCTAAAAATATCATTACCTTCACTTGATTCTTGAAAACCACTTATTTTACTCTATGTCACGAGAGATCTTAACTGTTGTATAGTTTTCCTCTATGTGGAACTGATTCCCAGTGGATTTTAGTAGAAATACATCTGCAATACCGAGACATCCGAGCAACTGCCATCATAGCACCAAATATGCCATCATTACTACACCAGCACACCGATACAAGAAGTCTTGCAAGGAGATCTAAACACTTTACAGAACTTTTACTTTCACTGGAAGACCCAACTAAGTCCTTAAACTCAGAGGTCTAACTCAAGCTTCAAGTCAGGAAAGGAGCACAGGGTGTGAATCCCAAGGTCATCAAATTTAGGGTCTCTGAAGAGCCAGGATTCAGACATAGTTCTCCATACCTTGCAGACCTCTTAACTTTGTGTTAATTATGAATCTCTTTTGCTGCTGATCATCATGCATTCCAGAGAGATTATTTGAACTGAGAAGGTTCTAAGTTAAAGCACTATCAGATATATTTGGAATTTAATTAAAAATACAAAGCTAGCTTGATTATGCTTTTTTAAAAAAATTATTTTACTATTTAGAAATAATTACTTTTCACACTTAAGACACTAGTATTAAATTAGACATGCATCCATTCTTTGTTGTTCTTAATTATTGATACAAAGCTATTAGCCTTTTTCTGGATTTTCCCTAATGCTCCAAGATTTAGGATATCTCTATGTTACAGATGACTTGTCCAGATAAGTTTCAAATTATCTGCCAGAGGTTCAATCCAAATATCTTGATGGAAATCAAAGGTTAAAAATATTTTGCTTTAATTAATACTACTAGGAAATTGGAAAAGAACTGTCAGCTATATAAACTAATACTTCTGCAAAACAAAAATAGGGCGTACTAATCTTTCTGAATTGTTGGTAATCTGTCTCCATGTAGTTATACCTTCTTCACATCCTTCTTATTTCCTTTTGTCCCTAAGACATACATCACATACCTTTATGAACAAGAATGTATTTTGTTATTAATACACATATTTTAAACAAGTTTTATACATCATGCTTCTGTCTATTACTCTGAGGTACCCCATTGTGTCATGTTATATTATTATCTGTAGTTCTGGAAAAAAAAAAAAAGGTACTTTAAGATCAATCTTTTTTTTTTCTTCTTCTTTTTCTCTACAAACTTCATTTTGACCCATGGAGCATACTTCTTAAGATCATAGTTATAAAACATTCTAAAAACTGTTCTTAAGCATCAGTTAGTCTTCTTTCCAAACCCCCTCTCCTAGTTCAGCAACCTCATCTGTTTTCAACTCTACCCAGCTGCACCAAGAACTCGGCATGATTTCTACTGTTTTGGAGCTTTCTTTTCGCACATTTGTCATAATCCTATTATATTGTATACTTTTTAGTTCTGTCATGTTTTATTCTACCTGGTTTATGCCCACTGTAAAACTATACATTGTATGTAGGGTTTTTTTGAATTGTAGTCTGTACAAGTGCTAAAGTTGTTTGGGTTGTGGGGGCAGGGGTCACCCAGCACTACTGGCAACATCTCCAGCAGATGCCATCCAAGTTGAAACCATCTCTGGTAAAGCATTTTTCTCCCATCATTCTATAAATGGCTGTGAACTGAATATTCTATTTTACTGTGTGATTTGGCAATTAATAGAAGAATGATAACTACTATGTTTACATTTTATATCATGGGCATGCAAGTATGCCCATTTGCTCCTAGGAAGTGACATCATATTACATGAGTGCAACTTTTTTTTTATCACCCACTTAGTCATTCTTAATAAGGTCTTAAATATTTATTTTAACATTTCAATTCCAGGGACTGAAGTAGCCATATTTTAGTTACCACACTGTCAAGTTTAAATCTGGAAATGAGTAATTCCAATTAATCTTAAAAATAATAGTACTGAGCTCCTAACTCTGAGTTTGGCTGTTTCATGATTTCTTTTCATATTCTGGCAGCCTGATTATTGTCATTTCTCCATTTTTAATCTCTGCTCTAGCCAATTCCCTACTCCCTCAGCATTTCTCTCATGAGTTTAAAGAGATTCCAATGTATCCAGGAGTCTTATTCTTTGAGCACAATTTCCCTCTATGCTGGGCAAAAATTAGAAGTTCTACAATACTATCCTGCCACTAAAGATGAACCAAAATACATTGGCACCAAGTGTGAACTTGCTTAGTCAGTGATTTACATTAAATATCATCCTCTATTTGAACAGAAAAGAGACCCAGAATATTTGGGACAATTCTCTCCTCTTTCCTCTGGGATCTCTTAAGTGATCCATTTGTCCATAAATGTTTGTGGTTGATTGGTTTTTGTTTTTGTTTTTTTTAGCACTGTTCAATAAATCTCACTGACACATCACAGGCAGCCTCTGTTCTTTGAGAAAGCTGTTTCACATCTACCAGACAACAATTTCCCCTACTCTGTCTTAGAAAAGATTACTTTTATTTACTTAAATACAAAAATTCAGGTGACGATTATCTGTCTTCTGGGTACATATACTGGCACAATAGGTCTTACATTGGAAGACTTTATACAAAACTACTATACAGTATATCAATTTTTAGAGTAACCTGCATCCCTGAAAAAAACCCAACAAAACCTGCCACTACCCTCCCTTTCCCATAAAACAAGAAGAAATATGGCACAAATTGCAAACAGAAGTAATGGTCTTTATTTATGCTACAACGACACTGAGCACAAACCTGTACCCAAACAAGCCTCTACCAAACATCCTTCAACCTGCTTCCCTGTAAATCCTGTTGGCTAGCTTCATTCATCCAGAAGATGCATTCAAAAAACAACCACTTCAGTACACCTAGTTTCAGCCAACACTGCTGGCACCAACATGCAAACAAGACTGTTTTGTCTGTACTCTTCAAGGTCAGTAAGTCTTTAACAAGGTCTAACTTCAAAGAGTGAACATCTAGCACTTTGTGAACAAGATGTAATATTTTAATATCCAAATCAGTATCTGATAAAAATTTGCTGGGAAAAATCAGAAAGCTAAAAATCACATGAGCACACCTAAGCTCTTCAGTTCCAAGCTCATAAATAGCCCTGCTTTGCTTGCAGTTGAAATATTATATATCTCAGACAGACACGACTCACATATTGTATTATGCTCCTTCAGCTCAGACATATACACCCTACATCTGTAACCTCTGTGGTAAGGAATCCACTAAAAATTATTTGTTTGATGTTACAGTTTAAATGAAAGGTTCTGTTTCATTACTATGCACAGTCTGGAATGTAAAAAAAACCTCAAACTATCTTAAAGCCTTGAATATGCATAAGATCTTAAAAGTACGCCTCCCACCTCAGAAACAGACAGTAGTTCAGAAAAAGAGAGACTGAATTATTAAATCAAATGTTGAGTGCTCTGTCATATTAACAAGCAGCTAAACTAAACTGTAAAGATCCAACAGCAAAGGAGTGCGTGGAGCTCCTCTTCACATGAGTTAATAACAAGTATATGGAAGTGACACTCCAGAACCCTTAAACTTGACAGTAGGTGACAGAAAATAGAAAGGACTTTGATATCAAGCCTGCCATCTGTTTTTACAGCATCATATGTCTTTTACATAAGAAGTAGATAAGAGATGTAAATCAGAACTTTATTAGAACACCTGTTAGTGCACCAGGTACTAATCATATTGGTGATTATCAGTCACTCTCTGAGATGAAGTACCTAATATTAGGTGAGGGTAGCAAAACAGCAGTCAAACAACAGCTCTTCATCAGTCTACAGGCCAAAAGTTAATCACCTACACCTAGGTGTATCCATCTTTTACAAAGCCTGCATCTCAAAATAAATACAGGAGTGGCATGCAAGTTGTCTTTAAAAATGGGTTCATGATTACCTTAGATAAACAAATCATAGGTTTAGTAGGTTAACATATAGCTGCAAGCTATGCACTAGCAATGTAAAGACATGCAAGTTTAGTTTGCTGCAAAGCATTAAATAAATTAGTCTATTACTAAATTAACAAATTAGTTTAAATATTTTGTGCAGCTACCTAAACTAAAAAACTAAACATCACAACCCCCCACATACACAAAAATGCAACAGTAGAAAGAGCCACAAGCAAAGGAAAAAGCAAGCCCACCCTTCAGCAGTATGTCAGTCTTAAGTGTGCAAACACTGTAGTTCGTTATATTAAGCTGACATGAAACCTGTCAAGTAGCAATCAATCTATTGCTTCTACCCTACCAATTCCTGTGCATCTTTCAGACTCTGGAACAAATCAAGAGAGTTAACAAAGTAAAACAAAAGGTTTAACATGCCACATCAGTTCCTTAATCTTGTTCAACAAGTGGACGCTCAGCTCCCTTACTTGCTAGCAGAAGGGCTCACAAGGATACATTCGTTTTCCACTCACTGCTTCTTTTTCCCTTACCTTTTACCACATGAACACAAAAGAAACTCAGACAGCACTGAAATGCTCTAGCATCAATTTGTCCTGATGGTTCCTATGTGGATTCACTGAGTTTGCCATAAATACGCTATCATAAAAAAAACACACAAACACACCGCAACACCAACACAAAACAATTGCACTTCTTTTTTGACCTTCCATCCTGAACATTTCTAATATATTTGTCTTTTGAAAGGAATAGTTTTAGTGTTATAAGCACTGGGGTTCATTACAGTTTCCATGACCTCCCTATAATTAACCTCAATTACATTTTCACTATACAGGATCAATCATTGTTTGTGGTAAAGAAGCCTATTGCTATTCAGGACAATATAAGGCTATCCTAGTAACTGAAAAATAGTAATCGCTCTGTATAAATTTTTTCCAGCACATTTTTATAATTTGTTTCAGAATGTTGTTTCAGAATTTGTCTTTATCGATATGTAAGGATCATTGCAGCTAATATAATAAGCCACTTCAGAATGAAAACAGAGCCAGACACGAGTATTGCACAGCATAAGCACAGAGTATGCTGAGTTCTCCTAAACATATATCATCATCATTATGATAGAGTTAGATTTAACTCAAGATATTATGCAGTGCTCTATTTAACTTTTTTCTATTTTGAACCAAAGAGCCACATTCATCGAAATATACAACCTATTTCTGTATACCTGATTGACAAACTTGAAAACCCACCTTTTTAAATATTCAGAGCTCTTTGCTCTGAAGTTTGCTTTCAACTCCCATTTGCCAGTGATTCAATGCAGCTGATTCTCTAAGTTCTTCATGTTAACTTACCTACCACGAGTACACCACTTGGTATCACTGGGACCAATCAATTGCAAATTCCGTCACAGCAATTTTGTCAAGAATGAAGTTACCTGCAACATTACACTGTTATGCTACAAGTGGTAAGTTTCTTGTTTATGGAAATGGTCACTTTACTAGCACTCACAAAGAACAATAATGTTGAGACATGCATGTATTAAAAGATGTCAACTAATGGGGTTTTTTACCTGTTTAGGTTTCTAAGCCTTTTTATACTTATAGCTTATGTTGAGAAATTTGTGGCACATTCTGAAATACCAAAACATCATTACTAAACTCAAACTATTACTTTTCTGCTTAAATTGCTGTATTTAAAGAGCAGTTCCTTGTTGTAAGGAAAGAGATGTAGATTAGAATACTTTAACACTTTTCTGATTCTTTGTAGCATTTACTGCTGAATAAGCAGAAGAGGCCATGTATACAAGAACTTGGAAATGACTACATTACACACTATGTTCACCGAGTGGAAGAGAAAGTAATTTCCTCATAGAGGGTCATCTGCCTCATTAGCACTACTGTTTTTCTGATTTCATTGCACCTGGAGTACAGTCCCTTTTCCTATCCTGCAGCTTATTACCAGTGTCTACATTATGCTGTTAGACATTACGCAGGTGGCTCTCATTGGCACCGACAGACAAGCTTTCATCCAAGGGAAACACCAATTTTGATGAATTGCAAATAAACTGCATTCTTTGTTCTCAATTTAGCAGACAGGTGTGGCTTCCATCAGCACCCACAAAGATGTAAGCATCCAAAAATGTAAGCAGAATATATTTCAGAAAAAAGAATACATACAAGCTTGTGCTTCATTTACAAACAGGAACAAGCAGGAAAGCAAAGCACTAGAACTGCTGCTTCCAGCTTTAGCGAGACCCTCAACTGATGCAAACTGCAGTAAGTCCAGTTAAGTTAAAGTCATTACTTGCTCAATACAGCAATGGAAGATTACTCCAGCTGTTAACATGACCATTTATAAAGTCCTTTAAAATTAGTTACTAGTATTTAAAAAAAAAAAAAAATCCAAAGTACAATTAAAGGAGTGGCTTTGTAATTTTTTTTTAAGTTACACTGGCACTGGCAAAAATTCAGAACCACCAGTATGGCTGAAAAAGAAAGATTAATCAAACTGAAAATGTAGTGTATCGGGACTTGCAGATCTGTAAGCACATAGATGTGAGGAAGTCAGGTAAATTACAGGGTAACTGACATGGTAGAGGCTGAAATTACTACTGCCTTTTAGAAATTAATCCTTGATCTAAAAGGACTTTTACATTAAATTTTTTATCTCCCCTCCCAAGTATCTACCAAAAAAGCTTCCCATATCTATCCAATTACGGTGTCACAGACACACAGCCTAAACACAGAACACAGCTTGACACAAAGAAAAATTCCTTAAACCCTCTCAATACAAGTCTAATATGTCACTTGCCCATCTATTGAAGTTGGACAGGGCAAGCACTAGACTACAGAAGAGCACAGCACTTTGGGCAGGAGAGATTAATTAAGCGCATTATCAAAGTGAGAGATACATTATAGCAAAGACTTTGAAAGAGAACATTATTCTAGGTTTGGAACATTTGTTAAGTGCTTCATACCTGGAAGAGGAACATAATTTGCCAATTCAAATTTTACCCTGCAAAAGCTAGTCTGCAAAAAGCACACAGAAATTCTATCTCTTCTTCAGTGCCCAAAGTGGAGGCTTGCATTTAACAGCAGAAGACCAGACTTCAGTGTCACTTCTGTATTATAACTGCAACTGCACAAGGGTTTTTAAACACAGGTTTAAATGCAGCTTAAAAAAAAAAAAAAAAAAACAAAGCCAAAAATTTGCCCTCTTTATGTGCTGTTCAAGCTATTTACTAATCTCGCTTAAGCTCTAATAGAGATAACACTCAAAGGGTAAAGATCTGACTAGTCTGTTTATATTTTGCATACAATCAGTAGCCTATACTCAAACTTCATACATATCTACACACATACCAGCAGTATGACATCACAACATGCTCACAGGTTATACCATCAAGCATAATAGCAAGGGTGTGAAAGCCAGTGCATACAGCAGCTCTGTCATTGTGCAGATCCCAGGGATTATTTATGACTGCAGATGCCAAGAGCAGAAA